GTCCCAACCACGGGGGCTGCTCGTGATACAAGTCTGCTCGACCGCCGCTTGGCCGCCTCGCTGGGCCGGCGGGCCGGGTCCGGCGGGGTCCCAGCCCAGCTCGCGAGTGCGCTCCCTGTACTGGCCTTGACACCGTCACATCAGGGGCCGCCCCGCCTCTCCCCGACGCCCCTCCCCGCACTATACGACACAATGTTGGTTCGTGCTCGCGGCGGAGGGGGGGGGGGCAGGGGGTAGGGTCCCCCTCTTTCCCCCCCCCCTTCATCCCCCCTCCTTCCTTCGCCTTTTGCTTCCGTATTTTGAGGATGACCGTTCGCGGGGCGTCCGGCGCCGCCACCGCTGACACCGCTGGGCGCTTACGCCTACAATGCGCACAAAAGAACGCCAGCGTGCGAACAACAACACCGGAATGTATCGCACTGGTATCACCCAGAGTGTGGTCCGTCCGCCGGCCGGCTTTGCTCCCCCAGGGCCCTGCCGCCCAGCCCACCCTGCCCGCTCTCACCCACAAGTCCAGAGAACCAGAGTCAAAACCCAATAAATTTTATCTTCTCCAAACCTGTGGTGATTAAATTATTTAGGCAAGTTGACTTAGTGTGATTGGAGCGACCATATTTTTTTGTATTTTCAAATAGAGATTTCTAAATATTAGTCGGATTGAGGAAGTAAATAATTTGGTTAATTACTACTATTACTAATTTGGTTGTACATGCACATTTGGGTGCGGCTCGTTGCTGCTCGCCCTGCCCAGTTGGCTCTACGCTTCTCCCCCCGTGGATCTACCGCCCTTATCGTGGCCGCGGCCACACGAGGCGGCTCGGCCGGCTCACCCACCACTCGCACCCAGGGCGCGAGGATGGCCGCCTGCTTGGTCTTGGTGTGGGGTGTGGGAGCGCGCCCGGCCCGGCGGCGGGGAGGCCTCCACGTGCCGGGGCAGCTCGCGTCACCGCTGCCTGCCGCCCCGGGCGCGCGTCCCGAGCGTACCCGGTACTCGCGCGCGTCATGCTTCGGCATTACTTCGCCTCCCCCGCGCTCTTGTGACGTCCAACGGGTACCCTCTCAGCCGCGAGGAGCCTCTGCCCCGCCGGGCCGGGCGCCACGTGCGGTGACATACCCTCGTGCCCGCGGCGTCCTTCCTGCGCGACCTGCAGCGGACGACGACCGCGACGACCTGTACCTGTACAGCAGCGGTGCAGCCGCCTTTATCTCTGGCCTTTGCACCGCCGCCTGGACCCGGCCTGCGCTCAACCCTTAGAGTGGGTCGGCCCTTTTGGACCCGCGGCACTCTACAACGAGAACCCTGCGGCGGTCGCGGGTCGTGGGCGCGAGTGAGTCACCTGCTGTCGTGGAGGCACTTTGACCCGCGACCCACGGCCGGGCCGGCCCGGCCGCACCTGCAACGGCCGGCCCGGTGTCCTCGGGGCCCGCAGCAGCTGCCCGACGAGGCCCGGGTGGCGGCCAACAGTGTGGTGGTCAAGGAGGCGACCTTCGGACCGCAGGGTCAAAGGTCCCGGTAGCCGGTCGGTCGGCTGAAGTGCCGATAGAGGCTAGGCTACACAGCAGCACCGGCATAGGCAAGGCGCGCGCGGGCGTGCGCGGCGAGCCGGCCTACCTGCGCGGCGCGCGCCCACGCCCGCCCGGCCACACGGGCGGCACTCGGCTTTTGATGATGGCGACGCTACAAAGTCGTGGGAATGTTTTTAACCGCCAAACCTCCTTTGAAATGCTAAGTATAATTGTTCGTGGGCGTCCACGCCTGGGCACGCGCACCCGCAAAAGAAAGTATCTTCGCAGGACAGAATGGCGCTATAGAGCGGGTGAGACCGCTCCATACCACGAGCCGCCCCGGTTGTCTCTCTCGACCTCACCGT